GTTACATGTTGGGAGTAAAGTGCTTGCCTAACACCTGCGGGCGATGCCCTGGGTTTGAACATCAAATAAACCAGGCCGGTTGGTACACACATATAATCCCAGCACTCAGGAGGTGGAGGCAGGAGAATCAAGTTCAAGGTCATCCTTAGCTACATACATAGCAAGTTTGAGGCCAACCTGAGATATAATGAAACTGTTATCACAAAACAGTAAAAACAAAAACCAAGAAACAACAGAAACCTAATTATGTCCCCTTGTAGGACCTGAAGCCACCAACAGCTAGAGGTCTAGGAGAAAATGACATTGACTCCCACCCTCTTTACTCACTGCGGTTCCTTGGTCCTAGCCACACTGCCGCGTGACCTCCCTTAGAAGGTTCTCACATACTCCCAGGCATTATGAGATGAACGCTATGGTTTGACAACAGTGCCTGATGTGGCTGTCTCTCACTGATAATGTTCTTGGAAGGTAAGTCCTCATTTCACAGATCTGGATTCGGTGACGGTTCCTGGGTCATCCAAGACTTCACAGCCACAGAGGAGCCAAAGTATTGATTTCGTCTCAAGAGGGCACCGTCACAGCAGAGGTGAATCTAGAAGAAAAAAACAAACAAAACAGAATGGCCAGCTGATGGATACAAAGGTGGACTGCAGAAAAACCACCAATCTCTAGGAAACCCTGTTTCCCTCCACTGGTTTGGTGGCCAGACCTGCCTGGGCAGCTGAGCACTGCCATCTAGTGGTCCTGGGGCTCACTTCCCTTCCACTGGGCAGCACCATGGGATGGGGTCAGCCAGCCAGTCTTGATCTCTGCTGGGCAGGGGCAGGTGTGCAAGCAAAGCCTGCGGGTGACACTGGAATTGCATGGCCACTGGAATTAGAGTCTGGCATCGGTAGGAAACACCAGGCACTGTGTATATGAGTTGAGACCAGAAGTGGGATTGTCCCGGGAGGCATTGAGGTTTTGCCCTGTAAGCAAAAGATGATCTGTCAGATTTTAATACAGGGAGAGGGACACAAGGAAGCCATCGTATCCCCACTTTGGCTTGAAGCAGGGCTCAGTTTGGCTGTGGACTCTGTGGTGAGGTATCCAAGCATCTGTCTCCATGGTTGGCAGCACCCTGCGGTGGAGTCTGAAAGTCGGCTGGAGTTTGGCCTGAGGCTTTTGTTGTTGGAGACTTCTGCTTGGGAAAGTTGAAAAGGAGTAACCCACAGGATGAGGCATGCACCAGGCTAGGAGGATGGGAATCCCTGTAGCAACTGGGAGGGCAGGGGGCTGCCTATTTTCCTACCAAGTGCTTGTCTGGGGCAGATATGCATGAATTTGGTGGGAAGTGGGCTGAGAACTTGGCTAGTTAAATGAATGCATAAAGTGGAAAACGATGCAGCTGTTAAAATGATGATGTAGGTAAATGTTTATTGATTCAGAAAGATGTTCACAGCATATTGTTGAAGGAAAAGCAAATTACAAAATAATTGGTGCAGTCTGGGCCTGTTTTGAAAAAAAATATATTCATATGTGAGGAAAAATCTGGCAGTGTTTATCTGCATGTGGCAAAATTATGGCTAATTAAATATTTACATTGCTTATGTGTCTTTTCTGATTTCTCTACAGTGAATGTATAATAAAAACACTAATAATGAAAGTTTATACGTCAAGTGCAACCAAGAATGTCTTTCTTTTGTCTCCACGCACAAATACCCCTTGAGAGAGAGTAGCAAGGATCCAAAAGCCCCGTGGGGTTGAAATGGAACTTGGGCCTGCATTAGGGGCCCAGGGAGGGGCCTGAGGGGCAGAGGCTGGGGGACTCCTTGCTTGGCATGGAAGCAAACTCACATGGACAGGAGGAATTCTCCAGTTTTGCTGATGAACCCCTTGTCAAATCTTTTCCCTCCGGAACCACTTTGTTTATACTAAGAAGGTAGACCACTCCTACCCCATGAGCTGTGTCCCGAGTTCAAGGCTGGTCTCTAGTAAGGCTCTTCTGTTTTTTAGCTTCCCAACTTATGAGCATCAAAAGTCACCAGGGCAGGAAGTAGTCCCGCAACCTTTAATCCCATAGGGACAATGGGACCGCTGTGAGTTCCAGACCAGCCTGATCTATATAGTGAGTTCCAGGAGACATGATGAGATCCTGCCTAAAGTCACTGCGAACTTCTCTCAAGATCTACCTTACTATGCCATTGTCCAGGATGGGGGGAGGTATGGCTAGATCCTAAGGGTCTCCTCCCCCCCACCCCGCCCCATGCTGATTCTCGCTAGGGGAATCTTAGCAAGCAGCCCATCACATGCTCAATACCATGTCCCTGGTGTGGAGTAAGGGATGTTGCTATGACAGGCGCTCAGGGGTCTGAACTGGCTTCAGCAGTGGGCAGGGGCAAGCAGCCAGGCGTTGTCTGTAAGCTGGAGACCTGGCAGTGCTGAGCTGGCCACCCCCCAGGACCTCCGTGTGCCCACTGAATGACTCACCTTGGCATAGACACAATGATCAGGGGTGGGCACACAGCCTGCTTCCCGCTGTACTCCAGGCCCCCTTCGATGCTTTCCGAGAAGTCCATTGAGCTGGGAGCTTGTACAGCACCCGGGGCTGACATCCTGGCATCTTGGGATAAAAGCAGCCCAGTCCCCTTGGGGCTGCCCTTGCCGTATGGGCTCCCTCTCTGGCGGCAGAGAACAAGGCTCTATTCAGCAAGTGCCCTGGAGTAGAGATCAGAAGCTCAAGCATGGACAGAGGAAGGCAGGGGTGGAGGGAGCTGAGCTGTCTGTTTTCCAGAAGCCTAAGGACACAGATGGCTAAGGCGCCTGGGAGGGACGGGAGTGGAGGGGATGGATAGGCCTGAAGTCTCATGGCAACAGCCTCCTCCCCACCATTGATGGTGGTGAATTCTGGTTTCCCAGACCTACATATCCCCCAGAGGCCTGATGTGTGGGAACTTGAAGAAGATAAATCTCCTGGGAGAATGTGGGGTGGCCAGGGAGACAGGGTGTTACAGAAATAAAGATTCCGGCATGTACCGCCAACCCATTCATTACTACTCTGTGGAGCCTTCAGGGGCGAGGCTCTGGGAGGAGCAAAGGGAAGTTGGACCAGGAAGAAACGACCCAGCAGACCAGACAAGATGCCAAAGAGGGGCTCAGGAAGGAGGCCTGCTGTCTTACCCTATTAGGATCCTCATCATTCCTGCTGTCATGCCCCCCCCCCACACACACACACAGCTAGAGGCCCAAGTCCGAGTCACAGTGGGGGTCCCAACCCCGGCCCTTCACTCCTGAACTCCAGGAATGAGAAGACAGTGATGGTGGGTTCCGGGGAAAGGACTCTGGACATCTGTTGGGAATGGGAGTCATCAGGAAACTAGTATAGGCTGATCCTGGAGGCAGGACACAGAGTCTTCACGTTCCTAACATTTCCTAGGCCCATGGAGAAGTGAGGGCATGCAGAGTGAGGACAGCCCTGGCTTATAGCTCTAGGAGCTGGAGGCAGCTCGCTCACCCAACCCAGCTCGTGTGCTCTCTCTCTCTCTCTCTCTCTCTCTCTCTCTCTCTCTCTCTCTCTCTCTCTCTCTCTGTGTGTGTGTGTGTGTG